CTGCATGTCTCCTGCACCTTATATATGTGGGTAGATACCATGTCTTTTCCTAAAAGCTGTGCATTTCTGGAATCTAGACTGAAATCATATGGCAAATAGTTTGGCCACCCCAGGTACACATGTCAGGGGCTGGGGCACCGGGCTAGGCTGGCACATGTTTAGGCCAACTGCTGGACTGGAGCTTGGCATCGCTGCAAATCTCCCCTGGTGGAAACTCCTGTTCCAGCTCCTGACTACTCCCTGCTCCATTTTGCCTGCATCAATTTGAGCAGGCAGACAGGCAAGAAGGCACAACCTGGGATGGTTTAGCAATAAGGGGCTACTGGGACCACAGCTGGCGCCAATGCCTTGCACACCAGGTCCTTTTCCCTTCCCCCTGTCCCCTTCCTCCTCATTTGGCACTGCAACAAGACTTTGTAAGACACCTCAAATAAATTGTATATAGATTCTATACAGTTTGCGTATCTTGTTAGCAAATTTTTATTTTAATTGAAAATTTAAGTGATCCCTCTAGGGTAAGGCAAAATACTTCCAGCACCCGTTTTCCTCAAGGACAATAGTAAACATTCAATAGATATGATTATAGGACACACCAATGTGCTTCTAAATGGAGAAAGGTGACAAGTACAGAACTGATAGAAAATATATACTATTAATAGCAGTGTATGGATCTTATTCTGAAGAAGCATTTTTGAATAAGGTAAAGAGTTATTATTTCCCCCTGCTGCTGGGGCTTGAACTCAGAGTCTGAATGCTGTCTCTGAGCTTCTTTAGCTCAAGGCTGGCTCTCTATCACTTGAGCCACAGCTCCATTTCCAACTTCTTTGGTAGGGTATTAGAGAGTCTCTCAGACTTGCTGCTCAGGCTAGATTTAACCTGGATCCTCAGATCTCAGCTTCCTGTGTAGCTAGGAGTTCAAGCATAAACTACTGGCAGCACCTGCTTTTGCAGATCTCCCCACTTTTTCTTTGCCTCTCCTCATTTTCACAAATAGTATTTACTCCCAAAGGAGAGAAATTATTTTTTAAACTCCCTCAATAAATAAGGAGACCCTAATGTCCACAAAATAAATAGATAACACTTCAATTTTCTTCTCCAGGAATTAGGCCTCAATATCAATTTTTCTTCTCTCTAACCTTATCTAGATTCCCAGGTGAGAGAGCAAATTCTACTTGGTTCTAATGTAACCTCAGAATAAAGTCTGAATATCTCTGCTTGTCTTTCTTGGGTTGTGGAACCCCCTCCCGCCAAATCATTATGTTTCTAGTGGTAATCTTGTGATCATTTTAGACCACTCAATAGCCTTTCTATCAGCTAGTTTGAAAAGCATCTTTACTCCTGCCAAGCAGTGACCTAAAAAGTTTACATTTTCAAGGTCAAAGTGCAAACAATACTAATAATCTCTAGGCTAAGAGGAAAGGAAATTTTTTATTTAAAATATTAGATTTCTGGTTTTTCTTTGACTTATTTCCTATCTTCTTAATTTCTCTAGAAATATTAAAGACACATTTGGGTCCTTTTCTTTATTTTCATATTAGTTTAAACTCTTACCCACAAAACATGTGCCGAGTTTGTTCAGTTTTTATATTCAATGCTTAGGAAAGCAAAAACTTTCCAAGTTCACAGTCTAACAAACAATACAACCCTAAATTGGCATTTTTTGACATCTTCAAACTGATATTATTCAATGATTGAAATAAAAATACACACATAAAATCCAGATCAATGTACATATTTCCTTCTTTAAAAAAATATTTTTAACCTGTGAGTGTGACATGCATTTGTTTTTAATAATGTCTCCATTTTATATAGCCATATATTCAAGGTCTTTATCATTCAAGATACATGAAGGTTGTGTTTTTAATCTTTAGCATGGTTACAGAAGATATGATTCACAGAGTAAAGAATAGATAAAAATAAGCCTGCAGCATGGTGCCAAATCATCAGAATTCACCATCTTATCTACAAATGGAAGTCATTCTTCTTTATTTCTTGAGCAAAGCAGTTTCATATAAGATAAATAGCTTTCAGTCACAATAGCATAACGTGAAGTATGCATCTTTTTGACATGTATATTCTAATACTACTTTAGACCATAAGATTAAAATAAGAAAAAAACTCAGGCTTCTATGTTGACAAGTAACACTGGTTGAATCTGCAATTTTCATCTCCCTGAATTTGCCTTTTTGTGTATATTTTGCACATTATGGGGTTTTCGTAGGTGATTAACTTCTCTTGACCTTCAAATGCTACTTGCTAAAAGTTTTGTTTCAGGAAATACGATCTGGGGTTTATCCTCTTTTATATATCATATAATGAAAACCACTCCATTCTGAGAGATATTATATTTTCCCTTCACAGGCTAGGATATGATTCTAATGGACTTAAGCATCTAAGTTCTACATAAATGAGCTTGAGAAAGATACTCAGCTATTCACATTTTAGTTTCCCCATCATGCAATGGAAAAATTAAGCCAGATTTTAAAAGTTGTTGTTATCAATATACATCATTAGACAGTAGACAGGCAAGGAAAGAGGTAAAAGAAAGAAGTGAAGAACATATATGACTTTGATTTGGAACTCATCTTTCCTTTGTGTTCCTGCTTAATAGTTTTACCTGAAAGCACTGTCTCCTTCACAACCCTCCTGTGGGAGAGCCTAGGTGGCCTTTCACCTTTCAGAGTCATTTTGTGACTCTGAAAAACAAAGGTTTTGTTTTCAAACAAACTTCTATGCACACATACATTACATGCACACACACACACACACACACACACACACACACACACACACACACACACACACGTAATATTTTAAAGGTCTCGCTGTGGAGGCCCAGACTGCAAGAACTCTAAATCATTTTGCCTCAACCTCCAGAGTACTGAGATTCACTTCCATTTTCTGAAGTGGAACCATGACATAAAGTCCTGGAGAAGAAACCTGAAAAAGTACCAGACAATCTCAATTTCCTAATGTCTTCCATTTATCCAGCTGTTTGAAACTTCTGAATTACTTACTCATTTGAAAATTAGAAAACAAACATATCCATGTGTATGGTTAGAGAAGAAAAACAATTATTTTTACTTGTTCAAAACTTATTTTTCGCTGGGCACTGATGGCACACGCCTGTAAGAAGGCTGAAATCTGAGGACCACGGTTCAAAGCCAGTCCCGGAAGGAAAGGCCATGAGACTCTTAGCTCCAATAGACCACTCAGAAAACCTGAAGTGGTGCTGTGGCTCAAGTAGTAGAGCATTAGCCTTGAGCTGAAGAGCTAAGGGACAGCACCCAGGTCCAGATTTCAAACCCCATGACTGACAAACACCCCCCCCCAAAAAAAAACCCCCACCATATTGTTCTCCCTCTTATACTCAAATTATTTTCGAGGATATTAGCATGACAGTAAATATAATGAATATGAGAAATCTATAAGGTAGTTTTTAAGCAAACATTGTTTAGTGAGTTATCCTAGCTTGAAATGGATGAGATATAAAAGAAACTGCCTTGGGAGATAATGTCTGGGCTTGAATTATTAACTAAATTAACTTTCTTAAGGCTAGTCTTTGTTTGCCTCTGTGACTCATTGTGCTCTTGTATTAATCTCCTGGCTTCAAAACTTCAGAGAAAGCATATGAAAACCTAAAGATCTGAAGATGAAGTAAGTTCTGCTGGTGTTGAATTAGTCATGAATTTGAAATTTGTTGGAATAGGATGAAGATCTAGGAGAACTCAAGATAGCAAGTCAGAATAAAGTAAGGAACAGTTTCAAAAAATGTAAATGAATTCCTACCACATAAAAAGCAAATGCATAGCAAGTGACTAAGCTTCAGTTTTGCAGGATTTGCCAGAGGAGACACAGGATAGCCCACAAAGGAAGTCAGGAGGTCTGAGAGCTAAATTCAGCTTTCCTCTGTTGCTCTTCATCTGGCTGTTACAGTGTTAGAAAGTATAGATTAGCCTCACAAATCATAGTAGGAATCCAAGTTCTAAAACTTCCAAGGATTTGCACTTAGACAAATTGCTTATTATCTCAATGTCTCATCCTCAACTTGGAGTTAAATAGTCTTGGCTATTTAACTTGGAGTGCTGTGTGAAGGGTACCAGGTAAGATAATCAACACTTCGTCCCAAAGATTTTTGTGGAACATGTGTTCAATTACAATGAGAGTTGCTATCAGTTTGATGTTTGGTTGATACAAATTATTTTTCATCTCAAACATTAGACTTTTTACCCTCTTTTTATCATCACAAAAAATCTTTACAGTTTGGCACGCCTTCAACTCAAGCTAGGAGGCCCTGCTTGAGGAGATTTAATAGGAAGGGCGTTCTGGCTGGGTAATTGTAAAAGTAAAAGCTCCAAGCCAGTTGACATAGCTAATATTCTTCTCTAAGTGAATCTGCATGCATTATTCCATCTTCACTTTATACTTACAAATACAGAAAACCATCTTAGATAATAAAAAGAGCTGCATATTTTTGCAAGCCATTAGAGCATTTTCACAGAGTGCTATAAACACATACAAGATGTGACTATATGGTAATGAAATGAATTTTCCTGTATGGCACAAAGCCTCATTAGCTTAGAGCCATGTTCTGTGTTGTTCTACAGAAGCCATGTGTTACATTTCTCACTAATGGCTCATGCTGTCACTAAATATTTGCCTCTAACCTCCCTCAGTCTTTGGAAATGCAGGCATCCACTTGCCTGCAAATTAATAGCTCTGCAGCATCAAAATGAGGGACCCAGAGAAAAGTCATTTTACTTCCCGAGAATTCAACGAACAGAAAGAAATCCTTTCCTCAATTATAGATTTGATCAGAGTTGTTGTTCCTAAGGTTAAACGAAAATTCTTACTTTATAAAAAAGAACATTATACATGGCTCTAAGTAAATACACCTGGATCTTTACTTTGAATGATTTTGCTATTTACACTAAAGCAAGAATGCTAGGGCGGAAAAAAAAAAACAAAAAAACAAAAAAACAGCAGGTCAGTGTACTTACTTTCTTCATCGAGGAGATTTTCAGCAGCTGATAGTAGCCTCATCCTGTCTTCTGGGTCTGCAATGTTTAATTCAATGAGATGACTGTCTGTTATATCTTTTAAATCTTCCAGCGTCTCATAACCATTGAGCAAAAGTGTTGAGGTATAGTCCTGTGGGGGAGAAAAATAAGCATCATATTATATCTAAGAACTATAGTTAAATACTTTCTGTTTAGTTATTTTGGGCTTAAAGGGAGTATAGAGCTTCAGATAGAAAATGAAGGATGCTAGTCTGTAGAATTCTGGCTTGAATCCATTTTATTGCACCAGTTATTCAAATTCAAACTGCAGTGCTTTAAAGAGAATGTATTGTCACCTCTGGAAGGACAAACGTAGAGAAAAAGTTACCTCCAGCTATAACAGTGCAAAGGATCAGCTTAGTGACAGAATCCTTCATCCCACTGGTTCTTTACACTTCTGACTAGTTACATGGACACTGGTAACATTTCCTTAACTCTACTGATAAACTACCTGTAAAAGAGTATATTATAGTAATATTTCTTAATCTATATATTATCTTGTTTGCATGATCATAAAAACAGCTAGTTTCATTACCTTCTTTGGGTAAAAATGAATTTAAAAAACATTATATATATATGATTTTGCATTTTGGTTGAAATGTATTTTAAAAATAAAACTTAAATTTCCCTATTAAATATAAATGGACTCCATGGGAAAAGTATTATTTCCTTCTCTCTCTGTGTTTCTCTTTCTCTCTGTTTTTCTCTCTCTATCTCTGTGTGTATGTGTGAGAGAGAAGCTGACATTTGTATCATTTATCAATTTAAAATTTAAAATTCATAGACTTCTGATTTTAAAATCTACATTATTTATACAACCCCTGTTATTTCTGACTGAATAAAAAATGCAAATTGAGTAGAATACTTTTACAACTTCCTCAAAAAACTCTCCCATTTATATCATAATTTCAATATTCTTATTTTAGTTACTAAAATTGGATAAGAGGAAGTTGAAAAGTTTTAAGTAATCAGGAAGAACTTATTACTTAAAAATGTAAAAAGGAAAAAGAGTAACAATTACAAAAATAGTTTGCCCAAGAAGAGCATGGAATTAGACAACTGAATAAAAAAAATTCCTTTCTGACACAACCATCTAACTGTGGCCTTTGGGGTAAGATTTTACAGACCTAGATTTTTTTTTTTTCTAAAGCATAAAACAAATAAGTTGCTAAGGCAAAAACTGAAACCTATACTTTTCCCAAGTACTGTCCCTTCCATGCTGAGCCAATAATAACAGAGGAATGTATAAGAATCCAAACCATGTGGGCTGGGAAGGTGGCTCAGTGGTAGAGCGCTTGCCTTGCATGCTCGAGGCCCTGGGTTCGATTTCTCAGCAGCACATAAGCAAAAAGAAAAAAGCCGGAAGTGGCGCTGTGGCTCAAGTGGTAGAGCGCTAGCCTTGAGCTGAAGAGCTGAGGGACAGTGCCCAGGCCCCACTACTGGACCCCCCCCCAACAAAAAAGAAAAAAAATACAAACCATGTGTGTATAAACAGGTAAATAATGAGATAATTTATATAAAGAAAGTCTTAATTGATGAATTATGAAAATTTCAAAGCACTGCTGAGTAAGTTTTAGAAATAGATGGTACTGCTGAGATAGTTCTAGGAAAGTATCAAGTGAGGTTACATATGTATAAATCATTTAACAACGCAGATGATTCAAAAAGTAATGTTTATATAACAAGAAGACTATAAAAACAGACAACCTATTTCCTCAAATTGAGTAGAATACTCAATACCTCCATCTGTTTAAAGGAAAGCTTCTAAATATAGCTAATTGAGTATTCTACTCAATTTGGGAATTAATGATCACTGTTTGATAACAAATAACGTTGGGAATGATTGCATTTTATTATCTTCCCTTTGTAAAAACTACCATTTTCTTTTCATTTTTTCTTTCCTTTCTGTGACTTTTCACTTTACTCTTTGTATTCTGTTAATCATTCTCATTTAGACATGATCCCATGGGTCTTTTTTTTTTTTGTGAAAATACTGTACACAGGGGTTACAATTACATGGGCAAGATAATGAGTATATTTCTTACCAAGCATTGTAGCCTCTTCCTTTGTTTCCCTTTCCCATCCCTTCCCATCTTCCCCCTGGCCCCTACCCAATTCTTCCCCCCCCCTTCCGTGGGTCTTGTACTGCATTTTTTATTGCACTTTCTTAACATTAATCTTGTCACTAAGGACCACTATGATTTAGTCCAAGGGATGTTATATTAAAACCTGTCCTTGAATAATAAAACTAATCAAGGAGAAATAAGAGCTGATCTGGCAAAACAGTTTTCTTTTGTTGTCTTACATTTTTTAACTTTACTACATAAATACTACATAAATATTCATTTAATTTCCTTAATTGATCCATCCATATGCCACCAAAACCAAGCAGATTAGCTCACCTGAAGGTGGATTTTCTCTAAGAACTCCTTCAGAGTCTTGGGTATTTCGCTTGTACTCCTTCGATGTGTCTTTATTTTCTTGGGGGCTGCTTCCTCTTCTGATATGACATCCACATAGATAAATTTGAAATTTCCCACCTTATTGTTCAACATTCCTGTCCACATCCCCATTGGTGTTTTGCAGATAATATCTATGATGTCTCCTTTCTAAGGGCAAAGACATATACAAATCAATTTTCTAAGAGATAGAGTCGTATGAAAACGAAGAAAGAATGAAGATGAAGACATTAAGTCTTCAGTGGTAACAGAACAGATTTGAGTTCACTTGTTTAAAGCAATCCTTTACTAGTAATAGTAAACAAACCTCCATCTGTTTAAAGGAAAGCTTCTAAATATAGCTAATAATACATTTGTTTTTCCATATCAAAATATCAAATGACAGTTTTAGAGCACTATGTAATTTATAACTATTTTCCATGCATAGTTATTTTCTACTTATAACATACATCTTACATAAATAATCTGAAATATTAAAATAGGGGTTTGGCCTGAGATTAGGACACCTGATAGTTGAGAACTGTGGATTCAGAATTGATTTAAAAAAGAAAAAATCCTACCCTGACTTGCTGATCTGAATGGAATAACTTGTGACCTGCAGCACGGCCCTGCTGACCTGTAGCTACATAACTAGTAGAAAATGACAGTACCACTCTCACCACCCAGGACAAACCCCCTCATGTGTAGCAGTAGTGACACATAACACAGGTTCCAGGAATCAATGACACATAAATGACACAGTTCTCAAGAATGGTTATTCCCAGTACTGATAGTCCATAAGAAAAACATAGGGTCTTAGGACTCTTGGGGCAATTGTTTGAATTCAAGCCTGCACAATCTCCTTACTTTGCTTTGCATGAATAAACCTATTCTCACTCACACTTCTGTCTTGCCTTCAATTCTTTCTCTAACAAGACCAAGAACCTCTGATCCTGCCCACAGTGACCTGGATCATGTGAAGGCATCACACTATTGTTTTAAATATCACTGAGAAAGAAATGGAACATCAAATGAGTTCCCAGGAGCTTACAAGAAGTTTTATGATAGAATTGGCACTCAAGCCTAAGTTTTCTGGATGTAAAAAGGATGCTTTTTCCATTTGTATCATTAAGTTGATACATAGTAAAATATCAAGACATCATTCCTGAAGGGGCTTTCCAACTGGAAAGAAGTCTGTGAATCTATCCATAATTTTAGCCCATCTGAAAAAAAAATCTTCTACAGTATAATTTTTTTTAAATCTCAGGATTATTTTATCTATGTAAAGTAATGATTTTATGCAGAATTATCAACTATGTAGAATATGTTTATACTAAATGAGTTAGTTAATCCTGTTTTTAAGTTGGGCTTGAACTCAGGGCTTGGGCTCTGTCCCTGAGCTTTTTTGCCTAAGGCTAGTGCTCTACCACTTGAGCAACAGAGCACCACTGAGTTAATTCTTTTTTTTTTTTTACAATATATATTTTTGATTGTGAAGCTACTGTAGAGAGGGGTTACAATTACACGAGTAAAGTAATGAGTACATTTCTTCTGGAGCATTGTTACACCTTCCTTTGTTTTTCCCCTACCATCTTTCCCTCTCCACCTCCCCAACTCCTCCCTCCCCACTCTAAAGTTGTAAAGTTCATTTTCAACCTAATGTCTCATACATCCCATTGTTACAATGGGTTAACCTGTATCCTTATTTCAGCTTTTTGTTATTTCTCTTCCCCTCCCCAAATTAGAAAAATGAATATACAAGATGCAGGGCACTGACATCAAATACAGTGAAAACAAGGGTTATACCATGGGTAAAGAATATACAAAAAACACAAAAAATCACATAGTATACTATAAGTACATTAAAAACAACAGCAACAAAGATAAAACCTCTTGTGCCCCTACCTTGGGGTTCATTTATCTTAATATCATCTTATCTGGTCATATGTACATAGCTTTTGATTTTTTCTGCTTGTCCTAGACATATACTAGTTATTGCACATAAGGGAAATCATGGGGCCTTTGGTTCTTTGGGTCTGGCTTACTTCACTTTATATAATTTTTTTCCAAGTCTTTCCATTTCCTAACAAATGGGACTGTGCCATTCTAACTAACATTGCTCATTTTCTTAAGAGGAGAAAACATTTAGATTGTGTTCCATAACAAAGTTTCCATTGAAGAATGAATGAAATATGAATGCTCAAACAAAGTGGCATTTTTAAAATTCTTATTTCAGATTATATTTGGCTATAAGCAGCCAATGATTGGCAACAATTGAAAATTGTAAAGGCAATTGATTTCTATGCAAATAAATGTCTAAATTTAAGTCATAATTATTTCTTTGAGATGTATAACTTCCCACAGATTCAGTATTTTGCCATTTTGAGGATCTGTCCCCTTAATCAAATAGGATATTAAATCTACCACTCATAGATATTTTCCATGCTGTCTTGTTAATGTATGGTTTGTGTAAAATAGGAATTTTTGTTTGTAATAGTAGAATTTAGTAAGATTAAAAGTTATGATTATTCTGACTTGTGATCATGTGCTTGCTTGGGCCTCTTGTTCTTGGTGTGGGACTTAGATCTTTTTAAATCAAATTGTATGCCAGATCCACACTATTAAGCAGACAAAGGAACTCTAGAGGTTCTAAGACATTTTCAAGTATGGAAATTCTTTACTGAATCCTTCCTGTGTCCTTTAAACTTGTAAACTTATCATATTATATGTCTTTTAAACTTTTAAAGTTACACATTTCTGATTTTTGTGTGGTTCAAAGCTTCTGAGTTTGGGATAAGTAGAAGGAATTACAGGCAGGAAGCCACTGGGGAAAGATCTCTTATTATTTATGACAACCAATTTCAAAGGTACTGGGACTGCTTAGTTAAATCTGACTCCCAAAGCTTTTGTTCCTCTGATATTTCCATCTTCCTTGTGTCTCTTTTTCTTGATTATTTTTTGGCACTCAGAACGAGGCACCTCCAGCACTGGTGAGGTTTCAGATTTCAGAAAATGGCCAAAATGAGAAAGACTTGGAAAAAATTATATTAAGTGAAGTAAGCTAGGGCCAAAGAAACATAGGTTACCCTTATTTGCAATAACTAGTATATGTCTGAGTCAAGCAGAAAAGGTTAGATAAATTGATGTTAGGGAAATGAACCCTAAGATAAGTATTCAAATTTTTTTTCTTTCATGCGATTGTTTCTAACACATTTATAAGATTATTTCTTTGTTGCTTTGTATGTCCCTCCCCCACAGTATAACCCCTGCTTTCACTGTATTGAAGGCCGGATAATTTGTGGAGGGGAAGCGAAAAAACAAATCGTTTAAATAGGGATACAGGTGGACCCATTGCAACAATAAGATGTACAAGTTGTTATGTCGAAAACGAACTTTACAACTTTGGTGGGGTGGGGGGAGGATGGGAATCATGGGAAGGGGAAACAAAGGAAGAGGCAACAATGCTTGATAAGAGATGTACTCATTATCTTGTCCATGTAATTGTAACCCCTCTGTACAGTATTTTCACACACACACAAAAAGAAATTGGCCAAAACGATTTGCCTCTCATCAACTCTGAACTTGTATTGCTCACTAATGCTAATGCATGCTCATGAACTGAGCTAACTAATCCCTTGTACTCCACATCACAGATTTTGTTCAATTTCTTACCACTGTAAGGCAGTTCTGCTAACATACTTATTTCCTTTTCTTATACTTCCAGAAAGAGATCAAACTGGCATTTGACAAACCATTCAGAAAGCAGGTATGATGTGAACCTACCTTGATTTTGAGAGAGTCGTTGTCATAGGGACTTGGGGTGAAATCTGTGTGCACTCTGGCACGGCCACAGAATGGTCCTGAGTAAGGAACGTCATCATCCAGTCGGAAGCTGTTCCGGTTACTTGTGCCATCTGAACAGCTAGTTATTCCACCTGGGGGAAAACAAGAGTTTGTTGTTGTTGTTTTTTAACAGTTCTCATCAAAGGCTTTTAGTATCTCAACCTTCTTTTGCACAATGGGACAGTGGGTCGTAGTCTTGTTTTAACTCTGCTCTAACAGTAACCTCTGTCTTCTAAGCTATTCCTGGCCCTTTTATTTTCCTTCCATAAGACAAAACTCTCTCCAGTCAGTAACTCAAACCTCAAGCACCTTCTTAGGTTGTTTCCTCTGATTCAATCCACTGTATATTAGTGTGTTGAGTAATGAACACTTGGTAAAGACAGACAAGCAAGCTATAGGTTTAACTCTTGCCTAAGCCTGGTGATTTCATACACAAAGACAGATTGGTAACAATAGTTTGATCCTTATGTGTTACTGATCATGAATGATCAAAGCATGATATTACAAGATCCCCTGCAACTTCAGACAGTTAGGAATGAAGTCCCCTCACCTAGTTCTTAGTGCATACCGCAGCTCTTACTGTGTGTGAGGCAACAGCTGTGTGATAAAGGTGATCATTTGCCTGGTGTGAGAGTTTAGGAGAAAGAGGAAGTGTGTCTTAGTGTCTGGACCACCAAGTTTGCAGGCATTTGAAACCGCTTCTAGAAGCTGGTCCCCACTCTCTCACTCATGGGTTGTCTCACCTTTTGCTCTTGAACTTCAGGAAAACAAAAACAACAACAACAAAACCAAATAACAAGGAAAACAGAAACAAAAGCAGGAAAGAGATTTCATTTTGCTCCCTGCCTAAGGGCAAGAATGGTTTTCCTTAGAAGAGCCCTGGTCTGGTCTCACATTCTCAGAATTACTTCACTTCCCTCTTAGGCTGACCTTTTGTGGCTCCATTCAAGGACATAGCAGCGCAGGTTTTAGTACCATCTGTTAGGAAATTATGGTAAAGATCCTCTGAGTGGTTGCATTTCGTGTGTGAACTTGTGAAAAGAAATGTGAATTTCCTGTAATCATAGAAATGTAGTTGCATAGGACAACAATGAAGCAGGTCACCAACTCCATGTCCTCCTTCCGGGATGAACCCAAGCCTAGGCTTTTCTATCAATAAAAATTTTCACACATTCAGCATCACAATTTAGAATTTTAAAACTTCCAGTGGAAATGAGTACAAGTGAAATATAGGTTTCACACACAGAATTCTATTAAGCTGTTTTAATTTTTCACAAAATAAATCTCCCACAGTCAATAACAATGTAAGATGGAAAGAGGAAGGATGAGGGAATGCAGTTATAGTATACAAGGGATACCTGTGGAATAGAACTAGGAAACGAGGTAATGAGTGGAGTTGGGAGAGGTGAGGGAGAATGTCGATGAAAGGAATGACAATCATCAACATTCATTGTACTCATAAATGGACATGTTGAATTAATATGTACAACTACTTAAAGGTATTAAAAATAAGAATAAAATGGAAGGTATTTGAAACATCTCTTCTTTGTGATCCATCATCAAACCAGGAAGTGGAAACAAACAAATTACAAATGAAAATCAGCCAGGTCCTGGTGGCTCACACCTGTAATCCTAGCTACTCAGGAGGCTGAGATCTGAGGCTCATGATTTGAGGCCATCTCAGGTAGGAAAATCCATGAGAATCTTATTTTCAATTAACCAGGAAAAAGCCAGAAAGTAAAGCTGTAGTACAAGTGACAAAGTGATAGCCTTGAGCAAAAAATACTAAGGAAAGTTCCCAGGCCCTTAGTTCAAGCTCAAGAACTTGTTCACGTGTGCACATGCACACGTGCACACACACACACACACACACACACACACACAGTAAATAAAAAAATGTTCAAACACAGTAAAAAGCCTGAAAGGAGTAGAGTATGTATAACAGATTATATATAAAAGTTACAAAGCACCATACAGTATTAGTACTTTCAGGAATGTCCCAGAACTTGATAATTTCCTCCTTAGAAATACATGAGTGTTAATTAGAAATGTCTTGTTAGTCATTTGTGGATTTTTAAAGTATTTAATTAGTGATATATATCATATATAAATATATATATATATATGCAGTACTTTATTCATTACTGGTAAAAACTAAATGAAATAATTGATGCAAAAACCTTGCATTTTTTTAAGAGTACTTGAGGGAAACAAAATAAGGAAAGTGAGGAACATGAACAAGGTTGAGGGGACAGAGTAGATGGAAGGAAGGACAAAGTAAAGGAAAAAAGGAGGGTGGAAGAAAGACGAAATAAAGGATCTTATTTCTCAGAAAATTTTACTTCTCAGACTATTTAAAATCACTTCAACTTTTGACTCAAGATAATGCTACTTCTTCCCAGCACACATTTATTTGTTTCCTTTTTTTTGTTGTTGTTGTTTCAGGGATTCAGATTTAATGCAATAGTAAGTACATATAGATTCAATACACCCTAACATCTTAACCACTTCCATTATAAAATGGCTGCAACCTTGTTGCTAACTTGATAAAGAAGCCCAAAGGGGCACAATTATTGTTTTAAATTAATTGAATAAGGATCTTGTCCCTTGTTCATTAGCCTTACTTGATGAGCTCAGGCCACTGTAGAGACTGTCCATGGAGTCGCTGGCTTTGAGGAAGCCCTTCTCCGTATGGGTCCCAATCAGGGGGTCACTATTCCGATAGTGGAGGGCATTCTCTCCGTGTTCCTCATCCTTCAGAAAGAAGCATGTCAGAGGTTAAGTGCAGAGAGCAGATTTCCATGGAGATCTACACTGTGTGCATCGACTTAACAAACAAGTCATATTGTAGCAAGAAAATACCGAGGAATACATCAGCATAAAATATGAGAGTCATCAATCTTTCGTTCAATTTTTAGCAAACTGTTTTAGAGTATACTTGGAGAAAAATTCCTTCGATGAGACATTCTTTATTGTGGCATGCAGCTGAAATTGTAAAAATTTTTTTGCAGCCAAGAATGAATATCATATCAACACCATATAATCAGAATTGTTAGGTTTATTGACATCTATGCATTATCTGATAAAGCACTTTCACTTCATGTTTTCTTTCTCATCTATTTATCGTCATTACTAATCCTTTGAGATCTGATAGTACAGCTTTAAACTCTGCACAGTTGTTTCCTGTCAGTTATTTGCACCCTACCAGATCACTAGATATGAATAAAACATTCACACTTTGCAATTCTACAGCAAAGCTTATCTAAGAAGCTTTACAAATCTCATATAGTGCTTGCCACCTAGTCAAGTGAAAAGCAAATCTTGCATAAAATTAGAAAAGACAGACAATTTCAAAACAAATTACATTTCCTTGAGAACATTTCAAATGTTTTCCATATTTAGATGGTTTGGGCAAAGCCTATGAATTTCTTAATATTCATCAGAAGGTAATTCAATATTCCCATGTTGAGCATTTCTGAGCATTAATAAAACTTCAGAATCTATATATATATATGTAGAGTTGGTTTGATTCTCAGCTCTTATTTGTTCATTTTTGCACTCAGTTGTTCAGTATTGGCTTAGAGAACACTTAGATGTATAGCATGGCTATGAGAACTAGGAAACAATGATAAATAAACAACAGGATAAAATATGCTCTTGCGCTGTGCATTCTAGTGTGTGTGTAGTTGATGCATCATATGTAGACTGTGGATTATGGATTTTCTTTTTGAGTATTTGAGAAGGCATGCATAAATAAAATAAGGCAACTTTAGAGAATGAAAAGTGTGGTAAAGGAAATAAACTGTATGACGTGAGAGAATTAGGCAGGAAGATTAAGCAGGATGGGTAAGAGGTGAATTGGATGACTTAGATGAGGTATCCCCCAAAGATCTCTACTTTACATATGATCTTAATTATTGACCTGAATTATAAGAAGAGAGAATATATTTGAGGCTCTAGAAATCTTCTCTAATGCAAAAGAGCTACAAGGACAAAAATAACTAAATTTGTAATTAGCTTGCTTGTACAGGTAATGAGAGGAAAGAGTGTACTAACATATACATATAGAATGGACTAGAACAAGTTTATGAACAGCTTTGTGAACCATGTATCCTGGTCATGGAAATGTGCCAGTCAGATCCCTTGCAGTGGATCCTGCTTTACTGATTGCCAGGTGCTGAACATTATAGTTTGTGTATATTTCCTTTTCCTCCTCAATGTGAATCCTCACCATGTAGTATAGTATTAAGTGGAGGAAATGTCATCCATGTTTAGAAGTGAGGGCTTTGGGTGGTGATTAGGAATCCATAAAACCATCTAAAATCAGTCAGAGTGATGGCTCCATGACTGAAAGTCAGTGGAGATTATTAGAAAGGTGAGGGGGGAGGGAGAAAAAGAGAGAGAGGAACATATGCATGCATATCTGTGTTTACTTGCATATGGTCGCTGGCACTACCTTGGGATATTGCCACCAAAGCCATCACTAGATAGGCTCTTGTGGTCAGAGATGATAAGCCTGAGCCAAATTCAATCTTTCCTTTGTATAATTCACCCAGTCCATAGTATTCATTACTTGTAACAGTAAATAGATGAATATACTAGCAGCTAGCTGCAGGCATTTCTTCTTTGCATCCCAACTCTATTTACACTGAAGCCCAGTTCCTTCCAGCAACTGGAAAGCAGGGGGATTAAATGACTCCAGTCTAATGGAACATGAGGCTCTCCTAATAGGAAAACTTGGTTCAAGCATTCCTCATCAGCCTGACCAAGTTTTCTCAGAACTAGGTTGAAATCTAAATACTCTTTAACTGATCCTTTTTTCTTCTTCTTATGGATAAATCAGATTTAAATTGTCAGATTTATATTTATTCTGCTTATTTATATCCCATAGATAGACAGACAAAGTATCCCCAATAAATGTTTGTTTTTTCTATTGCTCCTTATTAGGGAGAGGTGGGTACTGTGGCTTGAACTCAGGGTCTTGTGTTTGCTAGGCAGGTTCTCGTCTATTTCAACCATACCTCTACCTCTTTGTGTTTGTTTGTTTTTTGTTATTTTACAGATAGAATTTGACATACTTATCAGAGGCCAGGCTCAGAACTAGATTTTCTTACACTCCTTCCATTGATGGAAATACAGTGGCAGAGAGTTCCGCACCACCATGTCTGGTTTATTATCAAGGCCAGCCTTGAACCTTATTCTCCTGTTCTCTGCCTCTTAAGTGGTAGCTTGAATGACAGGCATGAACAGACTTTTTAGACTTTTGAGGTCTACTATACAGAGGACTAGACTGAATATAGTGACTTGATGTGAAAAGCAAAAACATATTTAGAATGGTTATTTGGTTTTTATTTTTCTGTCATCCAGAGTTGTAAAATTTGTCCATTGTCCCTCATACTGATAGATGAAAACATTTGATTTCTTACAGAAGTGTAGAGAATCAACATATCAGTTTTGGATATATTAGGTTTCAGATACCTACTGGGCATCTAAGTGATGATATCAAACAAACAATTGTTATAATGGTCATAGCTAGATATGTAGTCATGAAAAACAGTGCTGTGAGTTTGGATCATGTAAGAGATCACATGCATGGAGTACAGCTTCTAGGATCAAGCCTCAAGAGGAATGAATACCAAAATGGACAGTAAAGAAAGAAAGCAAAGCCAAGAAAGAAAACTATGAAGAAGGCAACCAATAGAGTGCCCAGTCAAAGGGACTGAAAAGAACGTGTTTTACATGTGGGGATGTTACCCGTGATACAAACAATTCTATCAAAAAGTACCGTTCAAGAATCAAAGAAAACATATCAATACAAGGTCAGCAACACAAATGTCTAGAATATGTAAAAAATATATTTAAAAATATTTTAAGACTGAACAATAAAAGAGAACCCAATTTTATTTTATTTTATTTATTTTTTTGCCGGTCATGGGGCCTGAACTCTGGGCCTGGGTGCTGTCCCTCAGCTTTTCAGCTCAAGGCTAGCACTCTACCACTGGAGCTACAGTGGCACTTGCAGCTTTTTCTGCTTATGTTGTGCTGAGGAATTGAACCCAGGGCCTACATGCATGCAAGGCAAGCACTCTACCACTGAGCCACCTTCCCAGCCCCCAAGAGAACCCAATTTTAAACTGGGCAAAAGATATGCACAAATTCTCCAAATATATATATAAATGGCTAGCAAGCACATGAAAATATTCTGTCATCAATAATAAAAGTAACCCCAAATCACAATGACATTTCACTTCACTTCAGCTAATATCTAGTATAAAATAAACAATGACAAAAACTGAGAAGTTGGAAGCATTTATATATTGTTAGTGGAATATGAAATGATTTAACTGCTTTGGAAAACAATTTTTCAGTTTTAATATATCAAAATATTAAGCATATTCAAGAGAAATGAAAACTATTTCCAAATGTATGACAAGGATTTCTGTAAAATGTGTTATGAACGGTTGTATCTCTCTTGCTCATAATATCCTCAAAGTTAAAACAGTCCAATGTCAATCAATAGATATATAACCTGTGGTTTATCTATAACATGAAATATTATTTGGTAATATAAATAAATGGAGGATTGATAATTTTTCCAACACAAATTATATTTTATTCTTCAGGTCTTAGATATGTGATCCTTTTGATCTCTGATTCCTTTAGGACTAAAACTTTCCCATAAAATTTGGGAGAAAATAAGTATTGTAGAATGCACCTAACACTTCTATGTCTAGAAAGATAAGCTGCGAAATATTTTAAGAAAAAATAATAGAAAACTACAAATGACTAACAAAGTCTACTAACCTTTTCCTCAGAAAGGGCTTTGATGTACTTTTTACTCACTTTCTTCTTCATTGTCCATGAAATGGCTCTCATTTTTTTACCCAGACTTCCTCCATTATTAGGAGATTTAGTTTGTTCTTCACTTTCATTTATGGGTTCCTCTTCATGTACCTAGTATAGAATTATTTTCAAGGGACAAAATTGCAAGGACATAAAGAACACTGATTTGTAATGGTTTGCTTTTGTTCTTATTTTTTTTGCCCTATTTGCTAGATCACTGCTAAACTCCATCTGCTCCAGCCCTGAAAACATTGATTGGAAACCCTTGTTAGAAAGAAGATTCTAAGTTCATCGATTTCCTCCATATTCTGTTCAGTAGCTGCCAAAAGTTCAACCAAACCTTAGTATAAAATGTATTGTTAGAGGGTTGGGAAGGTGGCTCAGTGCTTGCCTGGCATACAATGAGGTCGTGGGTTCCATTCCTCAGTACCACATAAACAGAAAATGTATTGTTAATGTTGCCCAGACTTCTTGACTGCAAGTCAGTAAAGGAAATAAAGTCAGGAAGTAAAGTTGAAGGATTTTGGCTTCACATCTAAAAATTCTTTTGAGAATTTTGCCTAGAGTTTATAGCTTTATTAAAGAATCATTTTTTGTAGTCCTATGGTTGAGATGAACAAAATAGAAGTAAATACAAGGCATAATTAGTGATTATGTCTGCATAGGTGGCAAATATTTCATTGAAGAGTTTATATAGCAAGTCGGCAGCATTTGTCTGAGCTGAAGTGGCGTGAAAGTATCTGCTTGCCTCTCATAGAACTTGAGATGGTCAGGGTTAATTTTTAAGAAGTTTTGAAGTTAATTAAATCATTTCAGAATGTGTACATTTTCCACATCCTCAAGACATAGTAAGTATTTTCTGGTTCTAGCTACTAGTACAGAAATCTTCAGGTAATTCACTTGCTTCTTAATCAAGACTTTGGTTAGGTGCTTACTAAGAATGTTGTTAAAGCAGTGACTCCCTATCTACTTCAGAATAAAAAACCATATTCCCAGCCAACAAAGCTCCACAATATAAGACAATGTGATATAATGCTATGTTTTATATTGTAAAATATGCTATAAAATATACTATATATAATATGTATTATATATATTATATAGAATACATATAATACTATAAAAATATAAAAATACTATAAAAACTATAATACTTATGTTTTATATTGAAAATGATGTATGTTGCATTATACAAAATCTACATCAAACAAGATATCCTTAACATTGCACTGCTAGCTACTTCTCAAATTTGCTCAACATAACACTGTTCTAAAAACATAGTCTTTCGCCAGTAGCATTAACATATTTTGGGGAAGTTTGCTCTTAGAAAGCTTTGCAAATAATGGCTCTCACACACCGATACTTGTTAAGTTTGAAGAAAAAAATGCAAGAAAACAAAACTAGTGCTACAATAGCCCCTTTGCTATTTCTTTATCATCTCCTCACCAAAGTTTGTAGTTGCTCTGGCTTTGGCTTGTTCTAAATCACCACAGATTTCTTCCTTAAACCATGCATGTTTACTGCTATGTCATGTAACAGGTGAGAAATCCTCTGAATCACTCTTTACACTCATCCCTGCTTCCTGTTTGCTTCATCCGATGTGCTATTCTCCCAAGCACTAAAAATTATGACGAAGCATACTTGTTTGTTATTTGTATCTCCCACATGGTTTGTAGCCCATGAGATTAGTGGCATTATTTCATGGTGATGATGATTATGATTATTATCAATTATTATTATCCATCTTTATTCTGAGTATCTAGAATGGGTCCAGACACATAACTGAAGTTTTTTTTTAAAGAATGAAACTCTTCATGTAGAATTTTGCAGTATTTTTTTTTCTTAGAAGATATATTTGGGTTGTACTGGATGACTAGATGACATTTGAAAGTCATCTAGTTTAGAACTACCCACAATTCCTGACAAGTGCATAGCCAATCATTCCCTGAATATTAAAAAAAAATGATGAGTAACTTCTCTTTAGTGAGCTTGAATATTTTAATATGAAAGTTTAACCACATAGTTAACATCATTATTAATCAATATTATGTTTTGCTTCATATCTTACCCCAAATTGCCTATGATAAATATGAGTGGACAGCCAATTTAAGCCCTCATTGCACTTTATTAATTTCTACATCCAAGGTTATAAAGGCAAAGATTCTTTGCTTAATTCAAAAGCCCTGAATAAAACACAATTTGGAAGCACTTTAAAATTTTAGTGTTAACTTTTGTCTTCTCTCTTATCTCTACTTACGCTATTTTTGTAAAATATTTTTCTTATCTAAAATAAATACAAAAGCATATTACTACAAGTGATGTTAATTTACCATATCTAAGCTTCAAATAATGTATCACAATGTTTTGAAATTTTTTTATCATTACAAATAGAAGCTTTAAAGAAACCATCCCCATATATTTTAAATCTTAATGTTTTTAACTATGCTCTCCTTTATAACCTTAAACCATATTTTATTTACCTACTTATTTATGGTCTTTGAATTACTGCCTTTTAAAATTGTGTCCATAAACATCAGGCTTTATGAAGTAAGAAGTTCCCATCTGCTGTGTCAATAGTACTTATTAAGAGCTTAATGCTAATTCTGTCAGATCATAGGCAATTGTTGAAAAGTTGAAAACTAAATGCTGAGTTTCTCAGAAAGGCACTAGCTATTATATCAGGTTCATTAGTTCCTTCACAGAATATTACTAGGCCATTGTTATTTTTATCAACAGAAAATGAATAAGCCTGAAGAACTTTTACAGGGTAGCACTACAATCATGAACAAAATAATGTATCCATAGACAAGCATAATGTGTACAATATGTTTACCTCAAAATTAGCATTCCCTGTGAATTTAATGAATCAGGATTATGTTTTCAGAATTTTAGCATACATCTCATCTTTCTCCTATTTTAGTACTTGCATATTTAATTAATCACACATCACAGATAACCTCTAACTTAGGAGACAACATAATAGAATGACAATGTGGAGCCAGAGAAGAGGTTGAGTTGTGTCTTGGTCACACAAAAGTAATTTTACTCAATGAAGGAGGCTTATTTATTCAGAAGTAAAACAGGAAAAACTACCTAATGGCTCCCAGATTATAGAAGTTAAGTGCTAACTTTGCTCTTACTTTGTTCTAAGGGTTCAGTTAAATATAGAAATGATTGGTATTATTATCACAGTATTATAGAAACTTAATTTTATGGAAACTTTTTTAAGCTACATTTGAAGTGTGCATGACTCATAAATGTGGGTAATGGTCACCAATGACATATTTTCAAGAATCGTGTCAAAATTTAATGGTGTAATTCACTAGTCCTCTTTACTTGCCAAATGTAAAATCCAGCCACTTAATCGTTTCCTAATTGAAAGCAGTTTCAATTTACACATGTATTTTGTGTTATGATGGGAATGATGGGAATGATGAAGGAATTTTGAAAATTTTTGTGTATGTACCACTTCTGAGGTTTGATTTCAGCTTCATTGCTTGGGTGGCAAGACCTTGAACCAAGCCCATACTACTTTGGCTTTTACTTTTATTTTTTTTGTGGTTATAGTGCTCAAGGCCAGTGCTCTACCACTTAAGCCACAGAGGCACTTCCGGTTTTCTGGTGGTTAATTGGAGATAAGAGTCTCACAGATTTTCCTGCCCAAGTTGGCTTTGAACTGTGATCCTCAGATCTCAGCCTCCAGAGTAGCTAGGATCACAGGTGTGAGCCACTGGCGCCCAGCTTTAGTTTATCATTTTTAGATAAGGTCTTATGCTTTTCCTTGGACAGCTTTAGATAAGATTGAGATTGACATTAAAGGGTTTGCCTTCACATGGAAGGTGATTTTGAGAGATAGGTCTTGCTAATTTTTGTGTGACTGGCCTGGAACTGTGAAATTATAGTGTCTGCTTCAATCTCCTTAATAGCTGAGGTTACAGACATGAGTCAATACCCCAATCCAGAATTTAACTATTTTTAAAATTAATTTTGTACCTTCTCAAATACCTAGGAGACATCATATGTAGTGTATTCTCTTTATATTCAGCACAGTTTTAGGCATTAGGTTGCTATTCACTTATCCTTCAATTATATCCAAGTCTATGATTTGAAAATGTTTATTTTTCTACTGATTTTTCACAAGTGATCTAGAATTCATTGCTTTTATAAAATTATTGCATTCATAATAATTGAATAAAATACTGACCTCAATTGAATCATCTGGTTTTGATACAGAATTATTCCGAAAACGATCAAAATTCCCAAAACTGCTGCTGCGCTATAAAATTACAAATGAAAGGGACAGAAAAGTTAGGGCTTGTTGTGACTTTCAGTACTAAAACTAATAGATAGTAGTTTAATCAGAATTGTCTCTTACATAAACCAACTATGAAAAGCTTTTATTTGGAACATTAAAAGACATTGAAGTTATAAATATTATTAATAGTTTGTAATAACAATTGATTAAGCATTTTCCTAAGTTATAGTATTTAGCGCCATGGAGAAAAATCATGGATAAAATATTTTTATTATAACTATATTTGCCCTTGAGAGTAGACACTGAAGAATCTGTAAACATGACAGATTTTTCTTTAGATGAACACACTAATTTATTTCCAGTAGGCAATGCAGGTAGATCTAACCAATCAACCAATATATAAGTAACAAAAACAGAACAAAAGTAAATATCTGAATATACCTACTATTAAACCTCATAAAGATCAAGTTAAAAACAATTGATCTTTCCAAGTGATATTTCTGATTACTAAGTATTGATAATTTGAGTTTATCTCTAGATATCATAAGGATAATGTACATACCTAGTCCTATCCATAGACTGAAAGGAACTATTAGCTCTGCATAGCCTAATATTGGTAGTCAAATTAAATTTTCATGAATTTACCATGAGACCTCTGGATCTGTTTCATTCTCTTAAATTGAGGGAAGGCTCAATATGTTAATAAAAGACCATTTCCTTGAGTAGTTTTAATTTACAAGGTTAAATTATTTTTCTCATGCAATTCACTCTAGGCAGGCAATTATAAATAATCTAGTCATTTTTTAATACATTTTCAAATTCTTTAGAATCCCTGCATCAAAATGATGAAGGCAAAATCCTCAATGCATTATTTGGGCTGATGCTTATCTGATCTTATGGATTTTGTACCTCTAAATGCAAAGAATTCATCCTGGGGAAAATACTATTAATTTGAAAAAATTAAAAATGGAAGACAATAATTACAGAATCTGTATAGTCTTTTTGGAAATCACAACATATTATAGTTCATCAAAAAACAAAAAACCAAACTCAGTCCTTAGAAAGACTCTTATACTTATATCTGCCCACCAGCTATCTAAAACTACTGGCATATGACAAGGGATTATTCAGATTGACACTATTCTTAGACTATTGCTTCAAGGAAGCAGGATGTATTAGACACAATTAACACTCTTTGCAGAGTTGCCATCCCTGCTGATCAAGCCCTTCAGGCCCTCTTGATGTTGGCTAGTGTTGAGACTCATATTCAAAATGCCATGTTCTCTCAAGCAGTACTAACTAACCTAGACAGAATTACCAAGGCATTAATCACTTCAACTTATCTACTAGGTACTTCTTTCAGGCAACAATTGCTTAGAGATTAAGAAAGAGAACTGAGTGTATTGTTTTCTTGCTAATAAGCAACCTGTATACAGGAAATTTTATTACGCTTCCACATACTTAAAACATACATATGTCCTATTGGAGCCGGAGCTTAGGGTACTTTTGTAACTGGCATCCAGTTTGCCTCCTGCCTATTAAATATTAATGACACTTAAGAAATGATTCCCACTACTGGATAATGGGTCTTGTTGTACCGAAGGGCACAGAATAGACTCACTTCAGCATTTCTCTACACCATCTTCTTCCATTAAGTAATCAATAGCCACCACCTTTTAAAATTAATTCTCCCCCCATTATATCAATAAGCAAAGCAGATTCGGGAGTAGTGGTTTGGAAAGATACAAGACTATTACTTTGGGTTTTGCCAGTCATCCCATTTCTAATCACTCAACCACTTTAAAACAGAGGAACATATTACTTCAGTCTAAATATTCTTAAAATGCAAATCTCAGGAACGAGCTATGAGGACTTATTCCTCTAATCCCAGCTACTCAAGAAATGGAGGTAGGTTTAAATCCAGCTCCAGAAGTATGAATGAGACCATTTCTCATAAACAAAATAAATGCCAAAAAGATTTTGAGCATGGCTTAAATGATAGTGGACTTGTGTACCAAGTAGGAAGAAAGAAAGAAGAAAAAAAAACCCTCAGATTATAACAAGTCATGTTTAATATTCATTGTTTTCTCTCTTTTTTTGCATGACATTTTATTTTATTTTTTCTTGCTTTATGGTCAAGGTGATATACTGTAGAATGGTAGTGCCTTTCAAAGTTAGTTTTACAGTATACATTTTAGTTGGTGGCTTATGATGAAATGGGGTTAATAATATAACTATATACGGGGGTGATGATGTAGCTCAAAAGTAGAACCCATAGCATTTAAAAGGTCTTAAATTCAATTCTTTACACTAGCTCCACCAAAAACAAAAAAGTATGTATGTGTGTGTGTGTGTGTATATATATATATATATATATATATATATATATATTATGCACACACATATTCTTTTTGCATTTGGAAGTTTGCTTGTACTTATTTATAAGTTATAAACATAAATTTATTTTAGTGAAACTTTTTTATGTAAATGTATTTTATTGTATCTTTTGAAATTATAGATACAGATTGCTTCCTTCTATATAGTCTATTTGATTTTCACAAAAGTACTGCAGAACCAGTCAATTGGAATGATTGAAAACATGCTAGAACATGTGTTCTAACACAATGCAAGGAAGGATGAAGAGGAACATAAAATTCTTTATCTATAGCCTCTTTAGTTTTTCAAAAAAATTGTAATTACTATACACTGACCTTTCATGATATCAAGCTGGAGATATTGTTAGAAATCACCTCATTCTTCTTAATGAGAACATTGTTGTAGGCATCACTGTTCGCATTTTAAATTCTTCTAAACATTCTCCACACCAGGCTGGACACTAGTGGCTTACACCTGTCATGCTAGTGACTCAGGAGTCTGAGAGCTGAGGATCACAATCTGAAGCTAGCCAGTGCAGGAAAGTCTGTGAGACTCATCTCCAATTAACCACAAGAAAACCAGAAGTAGAGCAGTAGATCAAGTGGTAGAGTGCTAGCCTTGAGCATAAGAGCTTAGCAACAGTGCTCAGGCCCAGAACTGGCTAAATAAATTAAAACACATAAATAAATAAACAATATGTATATATTCTCCACACTAATGGATCCCATAGCATTACAGAGTACTGATCCTGTCCTTTTGTTGTTTTTGTTTTCAAAAAACTTACTCTCAACAAGATGGGAAAATTAGAACTAAATTGTTTTCCTGGAACACTAGACTGTATTTAATGACATGATAAAATATTAGGGAGATTTTCTGTGAAAATAGGAAGCAAGATTTTCAACACAAGCAAAGAATTGACTTCAATTTTCTTAAACAACTTTTAGAACCCTGAAATAAATTCTCATTTACAGCATGACTTAATACTTGGGTGAGGTACTGGTAGAAAAGTTTCACAGACTTTTTCAAAGAAAAATTTACATACGTAAGTCAGACATCTGCAGTGTTTTGAAATATACTGGCAAATTAAAGATTACACACACACTGCCAACAAGTTCTCACGTCTCCTCAACATTGCTTATAAAGCATGGGTTGGTATAATGCTGTTGAAGATCTGAATTCTGTTTCAGCATGCCCTTGTACGAATATTCTATTTTAAAATGTGTAAACTCTCAGCAGCTATTACACAAAAGCATTCTAGGATTTAATTGTTCTAACTAACTCAGGTGCTAAGATCTTTTGAAGAGTGTGAATCAAATTTAAATTGCTTAAAATAATGTTAGGATTATCTCAGTGTCAAAAAGCTACACCATCATGTGGTGCTAGTGGAAGATGGGATGTGTGGGTGTCAGCGAATTAAAGACTGTAAAACAAGCAGAACTGTAAAATTTTGCTTTCAACACTTACATTTCAACCTTGGACAAAGTTAACCCAAAGCTCATAGGTTTATCAGTGCTCTAGATAAACAGTGCATCTGACTTCTAGGAACAATAGTTAGTCCATCTCTCTTGTTCAGTACTTTCATATCAACTGCAAATCACCTAAAGGAAGTACAAAATTCTTACTGTAGAATATCTGTTCACATGCTGAGACATAGAGACCAAGTTTGTGAGCAGCCCAGACAGGAAAGCCTGTGAGATTTAACTAGCAAAATGACAGTCTGGAGGTGTGGCTCAAGTGGTAGAGCAAGAAAGCCAAGAAAGAGGCAAAGCTAAGAGTTCAACCCTGCTAGCATCAATGCATACATACATTCATACCTACATACAAGCATAAATATGAACATATATATATATATATAGATAGACAGATATATCTCATAAAGTTGCAAAAGTCAAATCATTTGAATATAAAAGGAATGGAAAGCTTTTAAGATTGTGATCATGATCTTGTTACCCTGAACTGCTCAGATTTTTGTTTTTCCTGCTTTAAAACTTCTCCTTGTTCAGTTCACTTCTATATTTTTGTTTTATTCTGCACTTTCTACTCTTTCTTTAAATACTGAGCTCATAAACCAGCATATAAAATGACCTGTCTTGATCCTTCTGAAATTACATAATTGTACCAGCACTTTCTGAAATCTTGAGGAATTTTTCTAGGAAACCTACTTTTCAGTCATCTGTATATAGCACAGGCTTTGGATAGGAAGGCAGATGTGCCAACAAGAGGCTCTCTCTGCTTATATCCAGATGCTGCTGGGATCTGTTCTAGCCCTACTCTGAGCTCACGCTTGCACTGCTAAAACTTAAGCTTGCTCATTTCTCTTTATATGAGCTTAAACAAACTCATAGTATGAAATTTAATGTAACACACACACATATGCACACACCCAAATTCTTTCAGCTTTACATCTGTTCAATTCTGTCTCCAAATTTTACTGTTGGCTGTTTTCACTATTTTTTACTTAAGCGCATGCTAAGTCCTGAACTATTGCAACAGCTTTCAGCAATTTTGCCTCCAAATTTTTACCCCTCCTATGATTTAACAACTCTATCACAAAGTTAATTTTCCTAAAGTACTGATTCTCATAACGCATTCTTCCTCTCAATATGTCAAGGTTTCTCCATACTGCTATGGCAGTTACAGAGAGCCTCCTACACACAAACTCTACACCTAGCTGATATATAATCAGGCATAATTGTGTTCTTAAATGAGCACAATGTCCCTCTGCAGTAGATAAGGATATCTCCAGTTTACAGATGACTAAAACTGAGGTTAGTAATGTGTATGCAGCTGTTCCTTATCAAAATCATCTGAAACTGAGTTTGCATATGTTCGTCATTTCCTTTAGTATCAGGTAATGGTGTTCGGTCTCATTAAGTTATACCTCTGACATTATTTGCTGGAAGAATCAAGTTCCACTTTTTTATGTACTGATGCCACTTTATTATAGTAATATTTTTATTAGTCTTAATTAGTTATACAAAGGGATCTCAATTAAACATGTCAGTGTGTGAATACAATGTTACTCCTTTCATTATTATCCTCATCTCTCCCAAACCCACCCATTCCCTCAATTCAATTACTTTTTCACATAGATACACATTCAATATTATAACTACACTCATTCACCTTTCCTCTCTCCATTTATTTATCTCCTCCTCTTGACTTTGTCCCTCCCATGATACTACATGTCCCAGCTTTCTTTTTTTTTTAACTTCCTTTTTTTTTTAATTGTAAGTACTTGTTCAAAGGAGTTGCACCATTGGAATCCTTTCCTGCATCTACCATTTTTAGTTACTATGTGTATGTGCTGTTTTAGTGAACACTGGTTATGGCCATCCTTAAGGACTATAGCACATTTAGAGGAAAATTTCATAATTGTGAGGCTTGTTAAAGACATAGCAAACAAAAACAAAATTCAGGAAGTGGTGCTGTGGCTCAAGGTGTAGAGCACTCACCTTGAGCTGAAGAACTCAGGGATAGCGCCCAAGCCCAGAGTTCAAACCCCACGCCCGACCAAAAAAACAACAAAAAAAGAAGTCTCACAAAAACAAAATTCACTTTGTTCTTCATGTTAACTGTCAAAACCCCTTTCCCACACAGCCACCCAAAGGCACATGAATATTTCATTTCAACAAATGAAAAATAATGTGCTAATTTTTAATGGAAGACCAAAAGTGTTTGCATTATACAATTCAACATAAGCAAACTAAAAATTTTACATAGGTACTGCCTTGCTGTAGTAGTAAGGCCAGATGCTAGACTGGAGAAATCTATACTTTATTATTGCTGTGTTTAACCAAATCATTTCAGTGTACTAGAGATAAATAGAAGCATGTTCAATAAAAGGTATATACATATGGTATTCAATCCTATAATAATATTGTTTTATGTACAAAACAAGTGAGATTAAAATATAATAGCTGTCAGTCTAGGAATCTGTTATTATTCACTTACAAATACCTATTTGCAGTATATTGGCTAGTAAGTATACAAGAATTTATAATTAGCCTAAAAATAATACATTAAAATGATCACAAATGTGGGGAGTAGAATTAGCTGAAATCAATATGATATTAATTGGCTCAATTATCTTTACTTATTTTCTCCCAAAAGGTTCCGTAGTTGTGAACTGAGAGTAGAAGTCCTCAAATACAAAGGTGGTGACTGCTTAAATAAGGATAAAGATAACAAAAAGCTATAGAGTACACACTATAAAAAGGATCATTTAATGATAAAATGTGCCCAGTCTCTAAGAGAATTCCTTCTCAAATTTTCAAGAGAGAAAAGAAGTATTATTTTTAATGAAGATATTTTAATTACTAGAAAAGTGTTTTTGTAGTTGCTACATGAATATTTCACTGGAATTTTCTATGATCAGTTTTGACTATCTTTTCAACTCAAAATTGGTAAGAAGTTGTAAATTCTCATACCAGTATGGATAGTATGTTTAAAAAGCTTTATGGAATATGAGATGTGGTGAGCCATACCTTTAATCCCACCTACTGGCAAAATAGAGTCAGGAAGCTCATAAGTCTGAGGCCAGAACCTAATCAAAAATTAATTTTTTAAAAGCTGATATATGGCAGTATTCGAAATGATTAAGCACTGCTTAGGCCCTTGATTCAGTATCAAGTACCTAACAAATGTCACTAAAAATTTCATGGAAAGTTACATTGAGAAAGGTTCAGAAGCCATGTTCAGGCTTAGTGTTAAATAAGTTGTGGTTTACCATTTCCTGTCCATATAGTTATAAAATAGACTAGCTTTTTGACAAAGGCATAGTTATAAAATATACTAGCTCTTTGACAAAGGGATGGGAAGAGATAAATAACTAGGTAACATATTTTAACCATTTTCCATTCCTATCCTAAAATAAGTGGTTATTATGAGCAAATTTTGTAGTACTGATTTTACTTTCTAGAATACTTTGATCTAGGAAAGAATGGATGATTTGAAGTTTCAATTACAAAAATATACACTCTCTTCCTACAAATTTAGAAGTTAACTTTTGTGCATATTTGACTTTTGTCTATTGAAAAGCAAATAGTATCTTAACCAGTCACATCAGTATCAACGATTTTAATCATACAACTAAACTTCAAATGCAAAGAGATCATTCTATAAATAATATTCTGTGTAGGATCAGTTGAAGATACTGTAAAAGAAAGCAACTCTTATTTAGAAAAATTAACTTGGAAACACTGATTGCAAAAGCATTTCTAACTTTAAAAATTTATCTTTAAGTAATTGTACAAAGAATTTTAATTTAAAATAGGAAATTATGAATGCAAAGCATCTTTAACAACTTTATGCCTTCAGTCATAATCTTAATTTCAAACTTATTTTGATTTCTTTAAAAAATACCTGTTTTCTATTTGTCACTCCTAAAATATACTTCATATTATATTGATCTAAGAGACAAACTAAGAAAATACATGAGAAATTATGTGGACTCATTCTTAGCATCAAAGGCATTTACTTTATCAGCTTAGTT